GCCTGTTTACGATAAGGCAGGGAGGAGGAGGCGTGTCTATGACAGGAAGGAGATGCGCAGGCGCACTGCTTTCTCAAGGGGACTAGGAGAGAATTAAGAGCCTTTAATGGCGGCGGCGCTGAGGAGACTGTTACACGGGGCGGAAGTGGAGCGGGCCCGGCCTGAGCCCGAGCCTCCTCCGCCACCGCCGTGGGGCGCGGAGGGCCGCAGGTGCCCGCGGCATCGCAGCGGCGGCGGCGGCAGCGAGAGAACGGTTCGGTCCGGCTATGGCGGCTCTCAGGTAACGGCCGAGTCCTCCCCCTCCCCCCTCCTTTTTATGAGGGTCTGTGACGTAGGCGGCGCCCCCCCCCGTGTCCTCGAGGCTTGAGCGTCGCCACGTGCGCCTCTCATCTGTTACGTCTCCTCTGCTGCTTTGACCCCCTTGGGGAGAGAAGGGGAGCCAAAGCGGGGCGAGAGGGAAGGAAGACTGGTCCGCCCGGGCCGCCCCATCGCCGAAAGGAAAATGTGTGCTGGTTAATGCAGGGCAGATGCATTGGTTTTTCCTCGTTTCACGCTCAAACTGAACTAGGGACAGGCGACCTGGCTGGGTCCACATAAGGGAAAGAGGGGAGAGAAAAATAATAGCAGTCCACTTGACACTAGTAAAATGGTAAGTCTTGTACTGTGTAATTGTCTTCTCAATCCAGGCGATTTCCCCCTTCCTTCCCCCTTCTTACGTACTTAAAAAAATTGATTTGCTCTGCACTCCAGTCCAGAACAGATAACTGTTATTGACAGTTCCTGCCCCTCGGGATTACAATCTAAATGTCATGGCACAAAAGGAAAAGAAGTTGGAAGGGAAGTGGAGGAGGAGGAGGGTGAGAAGCAAACCTGATGTCTGTAATAGTGATACTGGGTCTATGCTGCTTTCTGTCTCCTTTGAATTATGTGGGGTGCCCCATCCTGTCCCCTCGCAAGCCGCCATTTTAATACAGTGGTACCTTGGGTTACATACACTTCAGGTTACATACGCTTCAGGTTACACACTCCGCTAACCCAGAAATAGTACCACGGGTTAAGAACTTTGCTTCAGGATAAGAACAGAAATCGGGCTTCGGTGGCGCGGCGGCAGCAGGAGGCCCCATTAGCTAAAGTGGTGCTTCAGGTTAAGAACGGACCTCCAGAACGAATTAAGTATTTAACTCGAGGTACCACTGTACATTGGAGCCACTTGTTTGCAGGTGGGAGGACTGCAAAAACTGATTAACAGTTTGTAAGGGCAGAGCTGTGCTATGGTGTATGAAATTTGGCACAGAAACTGCTTTGGTCGTCCTGTATGATGGCCTTTGTCAGGAGACAGGGGCAATAATGTTAATTGTTAATTCTCCTCAGCATCTCAGCAGCTTTTGATCCCATCGACCAAGGTATCCTTCAGGAGCGGCTCTCTGAGTTGGGGGTAGTTAGGTGGCACTGCTCTGTGTCTGCTCTGGGCCTATTTGGATGGTTGCTCCTAGAGGATGTTGTTTGGGGAGTGCTTTTCAGCCCCATGGAGCCTTCAGTAGAGTTCCTCAGGGCTCAATTTACTCCCCCGTGCTATTTAACATCTACATGAGTGGGGTCATTTGGAGTTTTGGAATACTTTGTCAGCAATTTGCTGACGACACACAGCTCTACCTCTCCTTTACATCTGCAGATGAGGCAGTGGATGTATTGGACCACTCCTGGATACTCTGCTGTCGTTTGAGGCTCTGGTGGCACGGAGTGCCTTCCATCAGCTTCAGCTGGTGACCCCGTTGCCCTCCTAACTTCTGCTGTCTATACTTTGGTAACCTCTAGGCTGGATTACTTAAAAGGGCTGCCTTTGAAGACTGTTCGGAAACTTCAGCTGCTGCGGAATTTGGCGGCCTTGTTGCTCACTGGGGCAACATGATTTGAGCGTATTACACCTATCCTAGCCTGACTGCTCTGACTGCCAATTAGCTTCTGGGCTCAATTCAAAGTGCTGGTTTTGACCTATAAAACCTTAAATGGCTCAGGACTGCTATACCTCAAGGACTGCCTCTCTGCATATCAACCACCCTGGACTCTGCATTCATCATCTGAGGCCCTTCTTCATGTGCCTTCTCCACAAGAGGTCCAGAGGGTGGCAACACAAGAACATCACTTTTTTGTAGTGGCTCCCCATTTGTGGAACGCTCTTGCCAGGGAGGTTTGCATGGCGCCGTCATATATTTTAGGAGCTAGGCAAAAATGTTCCTCTTCAACCAGGCCCTTGGCTGATTAATATTCTACGGCCTTTTAAATGTCTTTATGGGAAGGGGGTATTATAGTTTTTGTTTTAACTACTTACTTGTGTTTTTAGCTTGTATTTTATTCTTGTCAAACCTGCAGTGAGAAAAGTGCATAAGGCACCAGTCCTATTTAGTTTGAAGATGTGGCTGAATCTGAAGCTATTCATTATATTCAGTTGAGGAGTGTATGATATCCTTCAGAATCTTTATTTTGCTCTTGGTAAAGAAGTACGGTAATATTAATGTGCTTGTGCACATTGCTGGAATTGTGGGCTCCATTCCTGTCTTTCCTAGGCTGGAGTGGGAGGGATTGGCAACTAACAAGAGGCTGGCTTCGCATTACATATGAACAGCACTTGCTGTTTCTCTCATCTCCTCTTATGAGCAGTAAGCCAGGATTTGCTAGTGGTTTCTTGGGAGGGGAACAAACCAAAGACAATAGTTTGTATGTAATATGAAACCAGTCTCCGGTTTGTAATTTCCCTCCAGACTGAGAAAACAAGTAGGAATAATGGAGCAGTGATGAACGCATTCACATTAAACCATAGTTTATTTGACCAGGAATATTTACGAACCAGGAAGCAAATGTTTTACCTGTAACCAGAGCGCGAGTCTCAGGCTTGCTATGACTTGTTCTCATAATGCTCAACTACCCTTTAGCATTGTATCTGAAGCAACCCCAAACCAAGCTAGTTTGCCCTTATTAAAATTTTAATTGGAGTTGTTAGCCTATCTTTATAGTATCATAATGATACAAAGGTGCTGTATAGGCTTAATTATGATCAATGCTTTGTATATGGTGTTAAAAAACCCAAAACTGAGAAATCATTTTGTTAACAGGCAGTTGCTACAAAGCTTTCTGGCAAGATTGACCTCTAATCTTGATTCCTTCCATTACTGTGTGCGATTCTTGTACAATGGCTATTTTGGGAAGACTGCTTTGTGTCTGTATTTAAAGCTACTTCGTCACAGCAACGCTTGCTGCATATAGGCCTTGGTTGCTGTAACTTTCTACAATGATGGGGAATATAATCACTGGAAAGATGAAGTATTTCTCTGCCTGTTTGAGTATATTTTCCCCAACCCATATTCCTAGTTAGGTCATCTATACTGAGGAACTAAAGGTAAAGGGACCCTTGATCATTAGGTCCAGTCACGGACGACCCTGGGGTTGCGGCGCTCATCTCGCTTTATTGGCTGAGGGAGCCAGTGGAGGAACTATGACTTAATAAAATTGTGAATTGTATTTGGGGTATCTCAAGTACTGCAAAAGAAGCCAGCATGAAATACAACAGTGCAGTTTTACCCAAAGATTTGTATGTTGCTGTTTAATTAAGGTAAAGGTACCCCTGCCCGTACGGGCCAGTCGTGTCCGACTCTAGGGTTGTGCGCCCATCTCACTTAAGAGGCCGGGGGCCAGCGCTGTCCAGAGACACTTCCGGGTCATGTGGCCAGCGTGACAAAGCTGCTCTGGCGAGCCAGCACCGGTGCAGCACACGGAAACGCCGTTTACCTTCCCGCTATAAAGCGGTACCTATTTATCTACTTGCACTTAGGGGTGCTTTCGAACTGCTAGGTGGGCAGGAGCTGGGACCGAAAGACGGGAGCTCACCCCGCCGCGGGGATTCGAACCGCCGACCATGCGATCGGCAAGCCCTAGGCACTGAGGTTTTACCCACAGCGCCACCCGCATCCCTTAAATAATTACCAAGCTCTGATTACCTCCAGGTTCTACTCCTGCCATTCTTTGTATGTAGGACTGCATTTGAAAGCTATCCAGAAACTGCACTACATTCAAAATACATTTGCTAGGTTACTAACTAGGAGTGGATGTTGGAAACCCAATTTGCCAGAGCTCAGCTGCCTTACGGTCTGTTTTTGAACACAAAAGTGCTGATGTTTAAAAGCCCAACATAGCATGTGACTGTATTCTTGAGTGAACATCTTCTGCCATATCAAGATACCTATATACAGAGATCTTCCCCAGATGAGGTTCTCCAGTTGCCTCTGCTGTCTTAAGCGAAATGGGGTGGCAACAGTGGAGGTTACAGTGCCCAGCTTGTGGCTCATCTAGTGTCAATGTTGATGTCTTTTAGGAACATAGGACGCTCCCTTATACAGAGTCATGCCATTTGCTCTTCTAGCTTAGTACTTTTCACTGACTGGCATTGGCTTTGCAGCATTTAGGTCAGCAGATGTTTTCAGCCCTCCCTCCCTGGCAATACCAAGGATTGAACCTGTGACCTCCTGCATGCAAAGCAGATTCTTTACCACTAAGCTTCCACTTTTTAGGGGCCAAGCAAAGTCCATCTTATTTCCCCAAACTTTTAACCTCAAAGGTATTTTATATCTGCTGGGATTGCTATTAATACTGTATATTATTCTTCACTGTTTTATTGCTGTTTGCTCCTTTTGTGTATCTTGTGAAGTCTTGTAAACTGCCATGGGAAAAATAAATTTAAGGATTATACAAAAATGTGTTAATATTTTGGGATTTTTGTACTTGGACACCTTTGAGGGGATAGCTAAGCTTGCTTGACCCAACTTAATGCCATAGCCATAATAATATATTGGAATTTTAAATGATTTTTTAGCTTTCACTTAAAAACAAAATGTATCAAGAGGTGTACAAGCAAGCTTTTCTGTAATTGCTCACTGAGATGTGAATATTCTCCTGCCATCCAATGTTCTGGTGAGTGAATACAGAATTATTGGAAATGAGAATCAGGCCCTTATTTTAAAATTTTATAGAACCATTGGGGTTCCTGCAACAAAACATTGTCATATGAACAGTCTGTTCTGGTTCAAGTCACACCATTCCTGCAACTGTCAGTTAGCATTCTGTGCACTGAAGCTGCTTGGTTTTCTTTTTTCTTTAAAAACTTGAATTTCTTCATTAGTGTAGACTTTTTTCATCCTTGTCCCTGGGAATATTAAAAACAAAGTTTCTTAATTTGAACCAGAAATTGCTTATTTACACAATGATATGATTGTGTAAATCTACGAAAGCAATGATATGATTCTGTCTACTATTTTTATATCTATATACCGTACATGCAAACAGCAGTGTAAAAAGAATGATTTCTGTCACAACCACAGCAGAGCAGAAAAATTATAGCAGCCGGGCAGCTGCTATTTGCATTCACATCTAGTTTGAGCCTGAATTTGAAGTTAGAATAGCATCATTCCCTGAAATAAGTTTGTTACTCTTTAAACTGCACCATTCACCACAAATTTTTAGTCAGGCTCAACCTGATAAGAGGCTGGCCCAGCTGCTTATTGGAAGAACTGGGCTTTACAGTTGTACCTTGGAAGTTGAACAGAATCCGTTCTAGAAGTCAGTGTGACTTGTGAAATGTTCGACTTCCAAAGCGTGGCTTCTGATTGGCTGATGTTCAGCTTCCAAAAGAATGTTCACTTCTGGTTTTTGATTATTTGGGAGCTGGAACGTTCAACTCCCAAGGTGTTTGGGAGCCAAGGTACGACTGTATTTGCAAGAGAAAGAAGGAAGCAAAACCTCCTATTACCAGAAGTCTGCTGAATTTAGCTCTGTTGCCATGGATTGGCAGAAAATAATTTTTGACTATGCATAGGTCTGTTGAAACCCTCATTAACAGTTTCTACATCCAGAGTCCTTTTAGGCTACATACAATAATTCAAGGAACTAGAAGATTCTAAGATTTTGATACATTTTCAAGACATGTTGATGATTTTCAGGAAGTGAATATCTTGTTTCTTTCTTTAGGAGCACCCCCCTTATCATGGATATGGTTCGCATTACTGGAATTCATCTTCCAGAAGTCCCTACCCAAGCCCATATTCTGTTGGACCAGAGCTCCAAGGCCAGGTATAGTCATAGGACAATTTGTCTGAGAAGTGGTCTCTCATGGAAATATTTGGTTATTGAATACAGAGTGGATAGCACTCCAATGTTAAAATAATGTTAAAGTTATTTTCATACTGGCAAGTGGTGATCATAATAAGGCTTACTACTTGTGGAAGACCTTGTAAACTACAGTTGTACCATCCTGTGTAGCTGTAGCATCCGGGTGTGAAAAGCCATGACCCATCATGTTGCAGTGATGAAGGAGGACCTTTACACATGTTCCCTTGCCTTACACAGCAGCCTGTAAAGCTCATTAGATGACCTGTCTCAGATTTCCCACTAAAAGATCTGCCATACAACAGTGTAGTCTGTTCAGAATAATATTGATACAAGGCTGTTTGCTCGTTACAGAACAAGTTCTTCCTTATCCAAAGTACCCGTGTGGTTCTAATAAACTCTTCAATTGGTTCAAAAACGTCTTGTTCCATTTGCTACTAAAGGCAGCCTTGCTGGAGACTGGTGATATCCTCGGAAGCAACTATATCTTAGTTTTACTTCTTTAGAATAATAATACTAGTATAGACTTTGAAAGGAGCATTAATAACTGATTCTTGGGGAAATAAGGATTGTAAAAAAGTGAGCATGCCTTAGCAATGATTAATACCATTAAGCTTTGTCTTTGAAATCAAGACTTTACTGCTATCATCTTCTACATACATTCTGATAGGATAAATTAACCTGAAGGCCCAAGCTTATAGCACCATGTACCAGTAATATGCCATTCTCCTTTAATAGTCCTTTCAAAGTGCATCCCTAAGTATAAATATTTCATTTGTTGCCACCTCCCAGATGAAGGTTGTTATCTGATTACTAAAGAACTTGCTAGAGTTCAGTTTGTAAATGTGCACTGAAGTTTGCTAATTATTGCTGGGCTACAATAATAGAGAAATGTTACTTAAGGGCAATTGTGGCATAGTGGCTTTGATCTGGAGATCTGAGTTCAGACCATGCTCAGATCTGAAGTTCAACCAATGGATTTAGGCAAAGCACACTCTTGTTACATATTTCTGTTGCACTGTTGGGTGTTCATAGTGTTTTGTTTACTTTTAAAAATATGCTATATAAATATCGTATACATACACATATTTATGTAAGCTATATTTGTAACTTGTGCACTAAATTATGTTATAAATGTTTCCCTCAAACATTTATTTTCCATTTGGATTAAACAAATGGGCCTGATTTTAGTACAGATCTGAGGCTATAACATAGATGAGCATTGTGTCATATTTAAGATGGGAAGGGTTTAAGGTGAAGTTTGGGCATAGGCAAGAATTTAAACCAGGGTCTTAGCCACTACTTTATACCAATTCTCAACCTAGCCAACCACATCAGCTCGTTAATAAGAATAAAACCATGCTGCCCCACCTGCCACATTAAGTTCTTTGGAGGACGAGCAGGGTGCATTTTTAATACATTTTAAAAAGCAGAACTTGCTTCAGAGCTGGAGAACGTGTGAGTTGAAAGCAACCAACCAAAATAGGTGGGAAGTTGTTTCCAAAACGGTTATGCAAGCAAGAAATTGGGTGATTGCAGAGAAAATCTGCAACAGTGCGCAATCTCTTTCAAGTAAGTATTGTTCAAACATTTCCAGAAATCACTGATGGAAATATGGCAAATCTCTTCTCAGAGGCACTAAAACTTCTAATATATTCCCACTAGAGGGCACTTGGTGGTTTACTATCTCTTCGGCAGAGCGACCATTTCACATTTATTGAGTACTGCAACTCTGCAAGGCAGAGTACCAGGAGATGAGGTTCCATCCTTTTGGGTTTACAATATGAATAAGAGAGCTGTGGATTCATTAAGCCCAGATAACAAACCCTATGAAAATGTGTGGTCTAAATGACCAGGAATGCAGACTTCTCAGGATCTCTCGGTACTTGGCAGAAATCTGACAGCCAATTTTTGTGTTGCTTAGGTAAGCAGAGTCTGTATTAGCCGGTTGGAATAGTATTGGTGCCTTGTCTGGTTCCAAAGGGAATTTTTGATGTTGAGGGATGCAACAAATTCTTCATTGAAACAGGATTGTGCATAGCAGGGCCCACACAGCATTCTATGCTACCTGTAACTGAAGGCCTGCATGGTCAAGAAAAAGCTCAGTGGATGTGGATTTTACATTCACTGCAGAAATGACACCTACTGAGCTTTATTTGATAAAAAATAAAGGAACCATCTTTGGCCCAGGAATTGATAGCATAACTAGCTCTTGTCCAGGAGTTCCTGAGACATAATACTTGATTTGCTGTGCAATCAAGGTTGGTTTTAAATAATTTACCCTCTTATCTTCTAGGGAATTGATCCTTCCTACACAAATGGTGTTTATGGCACTCCATACTCTACTTCTGGGACTGGACCACCATATTCCAATATCCCACAATCAAATGCCTACTATTCCTCAGGGCATCCTCATGCACCATATTCCACAGAGTCTCCCAATGTATATAGATCACCATCACCAGCTTCTAACTGGAACTACCCACCACCAGACTGCCCAGCTGAAGGTTCCATGGTGAGGAGGCAAATACCAGGATATTCTCCTCCACAGGTAAGGATCTAGTGTGGGCTGGTGACATAATGTCATATAACTGATTGGCTGCATCCTTCTACCATTGACATACTATTAAATTATTCTTGTCTTTAACATTCATAGACCTTAATCTGTTATGCCAGATGCTTATATAATCATCTTTTAAAGCTCCAAAACCTATAAGTTACTGTTTTTCCTGGTAACTACCGTATTTTTCGCTCTATAAGACGCACCAGACCATAAGACACACCTAGTTTTTGGAGGAGGAAAACAAGAAAAAAAATATTCTGAATCCCAGAAGCCAGAGCAGCAAGAGGGATCGCTGCGCAGTGAAGGCAGCAATCCCTCTTGCTGTTCTGGCTTCTGGGATAGCTGTGCAGCCTGCATTCGCTCCATAAGATGCATACACATTTCCCCTTACTTTTTAGGAGGGAAAAAGTGCATCTTATAGAGCGAAAAATACGGTATCACCATTCCAATCCTTTGTAAGCTTACTCGGAGTTCCTGAGGTGATGGGACTTCCTTCCTGGCATTCATGTCTTAAGTTACAGCTTAAGTTGGAGACACAAGGCTTGAGTTTTTCTCGCCACCCTCACCAAAAAGTGTGAACTCTTGCCTTGACAAGCAGAATTGTGGATCCCTGCTTCTGCAGTTAACTGCCAGCTTAGTCTTATTTGGTGGGTCTCAACATTTAATTAATCAATGTGTTCTCATAGGCTACATGAAGAAACCATATCTCATTTTTCCTTCGGCCTGCAGACACCAAACTTTCCAGTCCCACCCTATCCGTATGGCGACTGCAATCACAGCATTCCACAACAGAGGCCCCCGCCACCACCTCAGCCAAGACTTCAGGATACAAACTGGAGACCTCCTCTCCAGTATGGAATGCATCCTCCATATGGTTGGTCTCCTTCATCAACAGGACATGGGAATCAGTATGTTGCAGAATCCTCTCCTCCATGGCCTCCTAGTGGAGTATCTGCTCCACATGCTTCAAATAACAATTCAAAGGTAATTTTTGAGGGGAGGCAATCTCTCCCCAATGCTTGTCCTCTGTTCATTGTTGGGAAGCTTTTTGTATCGATAGCTATTATATAAAAGCTGCTTCCTAACTAAAGAAACAAATAAGTTTGTCATCAGTATTAGCTTATTTAATGGGTTATCTTTTGAATAAATTTGTATGTGGGTAAAAGTATTGCTGTAGAAAACAGGATAATTCGTTTTTAGATCAAAATGTATTGTAGCAAGCATCATATTTAGAAGAGCAATTCTGCCTAAGTGTGAGGGAAGAGAAAATATCTGTTAGAATGATGCCTGCCACCTGCAGTTTTTAAGGCATCTGTATTTGGGCAGTGGGGAGAGAACTGGTGCCCAGTTAATTGGCACTGTTTTGGTCAATTCATTAGGTTTTTTAAAATCTGCTGATTGATTATGTTGTAGCCCAGTTTTAAATATGTATTTTTGTGTGTGTGTGTGTCGTGTGTGTGTGTGTGTATACACACACA